TTGTAACGTAATAAAATTATCATGAGTATCAGGTCACAGGTAACTGTATTCAAACAGTGCGCGTCGTACATCCGTAGGTTCAGTGTTGCACATACACACATAATTATTGATTAAATTGATCTATATTTCCTACCACCTGTGATTCTCATCCTAAAAAACCATAATGATGAACACACTGTCAAGTACCCTCTCCCATGTGTGATCAAGCCGGCATAAGAAAAAATCACGGTTATGTTCAAAAAAGAATTTCTCAACATCATTATCATCAACATCTACACCTTTTGACCTAACATAGTCATCTTTGTCAAATTTTTCTGTCTGTTGCCGTCCAGTTCAATGATGGAGTAGAAGTTTGTCATTTTGGCTTGGCCATCATTATGGCACTGTATACAATCAACAAGATTTGGACATCTCAACAATAATATGGTATATCTTCCTTTGGATTTTTTTTTCTCTTTGCACAATGTGCTCATGTAAAATTATTTATGTTATCTTTTATTTGGTTAACTGACCACACGGTATGTTTTTTTTTTTCTCTTATATTAGTTACTGACTATATAANCTTATATTAGTTATTGACTATATAAATTTTAATTATGGTCAAGTCTTTCCCGTTTCTTTGATTATTCTTTCGTGACCTGACAAGTCCTCGGGTGTGGTCAGGGTGGACATGGTGAACATCTCAATGGGTCCCCTACATTTATGTAGGGAATACCCATTGACGTTGGTGACATGTCCATTTTACCCTGACCCATGCGTTGGATCTGTCATGCCCAGGTTACCCTACTATTTTATTCTGTTTTTCTTTTATCTTGTTAGTACATTCTTAAATAAATTATTTAACATTATGCCAAAAGTTATTTATCCAGAATTTGGTATCTCAGCAAATTTGTCTGATAATGAACACTTAAATAGTGTCTAGGTGAGCACTATATACGAATCATGTATCGTTACATTACATAGAAAATCCAGAGGCCGTTCTGATGCCTGGATGTCTGTAGACATTTAATTTTAGATTAGTGCAATGAAACACAATTTACTGTTTTACAGTTATATGTGGCAAATGCTAAAGTTTAAGTAAAATAAATAATTTATGGGAAAAAAAAAAATATTATTGACTGAATCATTTTGGAATATACTTGTGGCATACTTATTATTTTATACATACTATTAATCCTATAGTTCCTTGGGAATCCTTGACCTTAAGTTAATTGTTCATAGTGTTTTTTTTACATTTTGTGTTTAACATAAAATTTGGTATTTAATATATATATATATAGATTTTTCTTTCTATTATTTTATGATTATATATATATATATTATTTAGTAGAATGTTTTAATTTTTCAAGAAATTGTATTTTGTTATGATAATTACAAAATTAAATCATAATATTTAATAAAATCTAATCATTGTTATCTTAAATTATTACTAGTCTTCATAACCTTTCCCCATAGGATAAGGTACAAAATCCCTGGTGCTCCGGCTTTGCCTCGGCCCAGGGTGGACCAACTCATTGGGTTCTTGTAAAGTAAGGCTGATTTATATTAGTTTGGCTTACAAAGTATGTAATATTCTTTTAATACTTAATTAAATTCAAACGTCTCATTGGCGATTGCCAGTAACATACTGACGCCGCTGAGGCGTATAATAGTTTTATTTTGTTTGCATGGTCCTTGCCGTAAAAGCCATAAAAATGTTCGTGCAGCTTCACGTATGGATTAGCGGTGTGTAGCATATTACTTGTCATTGTTTGTCTACTTATCCTGGACAAACAATGATACAATACAAATCAGTTTTCGTACCGCTTTGTAAGGGACATCTTTCTTTTAATTAAATAATTTATGTCATCACATAAAATTTTATTACTATGAATCATTGTAACAGACCTAAGAGCCCTCTGGGATCTGATCGGCCTTTGACAATCCGTCAAAGAGCCACTTCTATTTTCTCTCCTCAAGTGTGCACATCTAAATACAAAGCTTCACTCTTTTACTTTGCTGCCTTTCATCTGTTTTATGTTGTGACTTGGTGTCTACAGTTTTAGTGTAATTTAACTTAAGATATATTTGTGTTTTGATAATAAAATCAAAGCCAATTATAAAAGTGATTATATAACAAACAGTTCTTATTATTTAATATTTAATAAATCTACATTACTTCCTCTCTTCTCTACTCAGAAGAACAAGATTCGCCGCTAAGAAGTATCAGGTAAGAGTAGTTTTAACACACTAACTACAAAAAATAGTAATAACTAGAAACAAAGTACTTTTATTTATGATGTCTTTACGGATGATGCCATTGTCATTCTTCTTTATTAATATAATCCCCATCAACTTTATTTTTAGTTATTACAAGTATTAAATTGTTTTGTTTAAAATATCAATAATTTATTTTTATGTTATTTGTTCATCCTTATATAATAAGGTTATAAATAAAAACCCAGCACAGTGGGTTGGCGGCACAGTGGGGTCGTGGCATAGTTGGATCCAGTATAGATGAAATCTGACAGTGATTAAAATCACTATCATAAAAAGCGCTTCGATGCAAATCTGTAGATAGTGTTTAATTAAAAAAAAAAAATTTGTCAAAAAAGTAGGTCAAGTTACAGCTAAGAAAATAAAATTTCGAAAATTAGCAATTTTTAAATTTGTAAATTTTTTGGAGGTTTCCCCCATTTACGGGGAACGAGGGAAATTTTTTCAATTTTTGAGGTTTATGTCTTCGACTAGATACGATTTGTGATCTTTTGACATATCATTGAAAGAAATCGGTTCGGTAAGAGCTGAGAATAAGTAGTAACAGACACAAAAAAATAAAAAACACATCATAATAAAATTAATACCATCTCAGGTTTGCATCGAAGCTAAAAACTGATACAAGTTGTAATTGTCTTAATAATAATCGTTAAACAGAATTTTTTTCTAATACTATTGTATTTATTATATTGTATTACTAGTCATATTATGCGTATTAGTACAATTTATTTCTAAACCGTTTAAAATTTTTAGAAGAAACATTGTAATTTTTTTAATTTTTGATGATTTAAACAAGCAATAAATAAAACGTAACAATTCTGCTCATCCTTCTGATGACACATATAAATATAATTTGCACCTGTATACTCAGCTTATTTCCTAATTATTTATTTTTTTAGTTTTGTAATAAAAAACTTGTACGTCTATTCTTTTTTTTAATAAGAGTATAGATATAATAAAATATATTAATAAGTTTTCGAAAATGGAAATGGCATTAATACTAAATATTCAAGTGTACTTATGTATGTTATTCGCTTTTTTACATACTGAAGGGACAAATAATAAAAATATAAACGCGGTTATCATAAATAATTTTCTACGTCAACCAGGATGGAATAATATAAATGATGTCGAATTAGTTAAGTATTGGGGCAAAAACTATGAACTGAAAAATTTATTTATTAAACCTGTAACATTATATAATTGCGATAATTGCATACGGCAAGCAACGATATTCCTTGGATGTTCTTACGTTCATGATTTAAATTTAATGATCTTATCATTAAATAAATTTCATGAACATTGTACTTATCTTTTAATTTCTGGTGATGATAGTGCGCACAATTGTATAGTCACACTTTTAACAAAAATAATTGAAATTGTTCCGATGGCAAAATATATGAAAGGAGCTTTATATGCAATAGAAAAATATCATACTATCCCCTTGAACATCCAAAAAAGAACTCGTTTTATTTTAAGCAATCTACTTACAAATATACAGGAAGATGAAACTTTATTCTCTACGTTGAGAACCAGTTCGGATTCAATTAAAGATGCTTTAAAGACTATCGCGAATACATTATTCGATTGGCGTTATGAACTTGATGAAGATAAATCATTTTGTCATCTAAAAAACTTAGATTTTAATTTATTATGGAATTTATGGAATGCAGAATTTATTACATTAAAATATCAAGGAAAATACCAAGAACTTTTCAATTTTCTTAGTGATAAAATTAGAAATTTAATTCTAAACACATTTATGAAAAAGTATATTGAACTTGGATTTAAATTTGATAAGTACACAAGTCAAACATTTTTACCTACTCTACCACTTACTAATGTCAAACAAGGTATACCTATTTGTGCAATGTTACGTTTATTTGAAATAATTTGTTGTTAACATATTTAGATATCGCGCAAACTTCTTCTAAAAATTACATACAAAATACCAATGAAGTACATGCGCAAGAAGAAATTCAGCAACATGGTAAAGTTTCTCCAATACTTCATAGTACCACTATTTTTTAATCTAAATAAGTTTTAAATTGACCTAATAACCATTTTAATATGTTAACCAATAATATAGAGAAACAGGAAGACATAAGACAAGAAAGTAATAATTTTATAATACACAAAAATACTTTTATTTATTAATAATATGTTATTAAAATTAGGAAGCAATATATTCATCCATAATAATTTGTCCATAATTTATAGAAAATATATTTACAAAATTTACCCAGCAACATGTACAAAAGCCAAAATAATTTAAAATCACATTCTTTACATAATCATTATGAAACGCTTTAATTGTATGAACTAGTTGTAGTTAATAAAATAAGTATAAATAAGATCTATAATATGTAAGAAGGTAGGTAAATTGTTATAGAAAAATGGTAACAGACACAAACAAAAAATAAAAACCTCAGCATGGAGGGTCGCGGCACAGTGATGACGTGGTATAGTTGGATCAAGAATAATGATATCTGACAGTGATTAAAATTACTATTAACTTTGCATAATTAAAAACATTACATTAGCTTTAATTTAAGATATATATAATTGTGTCAGACTTTCAGGAACACTTTCAAAAGTTAAGTTGAAAAAGTTGTTATTTTTAATCCACCCCTGTAGGCAGGTAAAGGGTCAAATTTATAAAAAAAAATATACTTAATAATAAATTAAAACATCAAGCATCTATAAAAAAAAATTATCTTGATTTGATCATTTATGAAAAAGTTATGGCAGTTTTAAAAACCCAATCAAATTAATATGATTTTTTTTTATAGATGCTTTTGCTGCTCACAGTGGGAGATTAAAAATGACATTTCTTTCACAAAAAATTAACTTTTTCAACTTAATTTAAAAAGTGTTCGGAAATACTACCACTTTTATATATACCTTAAATTAAAGCTTATATAATATACTTTAATGTGAAAAAGAAAAATTTCTGGCTTTAGTTTGATTTCATGATAAAACTAACACCAAAATTAATTTAAAAAAATAAGATTTTTGTAAAAAAATTCTTTTTTTATTTTTAACTTTATAAAGTTATAATTTTTTTAAAAATATATGGATCAATACAAGTTTTTAGGATAAATACTATTTATATACCACTTTCAATCTGCATACTGTTTTTTTAAATACAACCATTTTCTTATATGTATATAGATATACTTTTTAATATATCACACTTATAAATCATAAATCTTGTAATCAGGTTATAAAAAAGGAAATAGGAGATTATGTAGCTTTTGGAATAATCCACCAACTTTTTAAAATTGATCACTATTTACAGATTTGCATCGAAGCGTTTTTATGATAGTGATTTTAATTAGTGCCGCGACCCAACTGTGATGGGTTTTTTTTTAATTATTTTAAATTTTTTAGTTCGATGTGCTTTAAAAGCGTGTTTTTTAGTTTTTAAACTATGTTTTTTAATCATGTATTTTTATTTAGATGTCAATTGTGAATTGAAAGATGATTCAGTCGAACTAATAGAATATCATAAGGGTATGGAACCATTTAATAAGTACCTTTAAATTAATTTTCATGTGCTAAATTTTTCTCATATTTGCATTACTATATATAATAACTGTGTTAATTTGATTTATATGTATGATTTAAATATTTAATAAAAATCACAATTAATTATTACTAAAATTATATTTTATTAGTATATTCAAATATGTGTTACTTATATTTTCACATTAATAATAATAAAAATATAGTTAAAAAAAACTAAAAAAACACGCTTTTAAATCACATCGAACACTAAAACGTTCAAAATAATTTTAAAAATAAGCTTAAAACAATAATGAACGAAAAATATTAGTACTATTGTGATAAAAGCGTTGGGTGATTAATATACGAAAAATATGGCACAAAGCACCTACGCTTTTATCACAATAATAATAGTATTTTTCGTTCATTATGGTTTTAAGCTTATTTTAAAAATTATTTTTAACTTTTTAATTCGATGTGCTTTAAAAGCGTGTTTTTTTAAAAATTATTTTAATTTTCCTTTTTAGTTTCATGTTATGATAGTAGTTAATATCAATATCATGGTTGTAACGGGAAATTAGGGTTCGATTCCGGGGAGGGAGACTGAGAAACGGCTACCACATCCAAGGAAAGCAGCATGTGCGTAAATTACTCACTCCCGGAACGTGGAGGTAGTGACGAAAAATGACGTTACGAGAATCATCCTTTGTAATCGGAATGAATACACTCTATATCTCTTAATGATAATAAAGCGTGTTAATATATATTTTTAATAGTAATTAGAATATATATATATATATACATGTAAAGCGACTTAAGTACGTAAACGTATCTTGCATAAGGTATAGCTGTGTTTTGTGGATGGGTGGCGCGCTGGGGAACGTTGTACGCGAGGTATATGCGACAGCTATAGGAATATATATATATATATATATAGTTAGGCGACATAAGTACGTAAACGTATCATGCACTAGGTATAGCCTTGTTTTGTTGGCGGGGAGAACGTTATACTTCCGAAATTTTATACTAAATAGTTTTTATTCTAAACATTTTTACGTTAACTATTATATTGACCTGATCAAATCTAAAATCTAAAAAAAATCTTCTGTGCGTTTGAACCACTTTATAATATATAAAATTAACATATTTGTGAGATAAGAATGTGTAACTAGTGTATATCATCTAATATTTTACTGTGATATTAAAGACACATGATTAAATGTTTTATGAAAATAAATGTTGTTAATTAAAACACACAACTACAATATATACTACAATATTCTCCACTGATTGTCAACACTTAATTCAATATAGAAAATACAAAATAATTTTAGGAATAGACGAGTTATCGGAACGATAATATTTGTCTATTTGTGCTATTGAGCAAACATACAGTGATCATTGTATATTCCACGAGTTTACGAGTAGTCAGAACAATAATATTTGTGTACTTGTACGAGTAGACGAATTTTTAGTATTCGTCCTATATTTGGCAAATAGACGAGTAATGGGAATCCTTTTTTTTTTTTTAAACACGACCGGCATTATTACGGACCGCCCTGGAACTACCGTGAGGTATAACTTCAGGGCGGCCCACGCAGTTTCTAAAACTCACACCACCACGTTGAGAATCAGCCCGAAATTAATCAAGAGCTGATTCACAACGTTCTGTGGCCTCCCCCGTTAGCCGAATCCCAGAGTGGGATCCGTTGCCCGGGTTGCACCACGTGAAGGTGGGGGCAAAAATAACTCACAAAAACATAAAACATAAAAACACGAATACCTAAGGCGCCGGCCTAAACCAGCGCCTCAGGTTCTCCTGTGTCGGGTGACATGGCTGCCTCTGTCTCAGGCGTTCCGCTTCCTCCTTCTTTAACAAGACGGATTCGGCGAACGCCTGGACGAGCCTCCACGCCTCCCGACTCCTCAACATCAGGTCCACCATGGACCCGACTCGAAACGTGGACCTCAGTCGAGACTCCAAAGAGTCCCGCTCCTGGGCCCACGCCTCGCACCGGAAGAGGGTGTGCAGAGCGCTATCAGCCTCTCCCGGGCGATCCGAACAGTGGTCGCACGTCGGCGCGGCTGTTATACGAATACGGTCTAAGTACTCGATAAGGCAGCCGTGGCCGGACATCACTTGGGTGAGACTATAAGTCATCTCATCGTGAGTCCGGTCCATCCACCTGTCCAGGCCCTATGAGGGACCTGGTCCACTCGCCTCTCGTCGTTTCCTCCGAGAGACGAGTCCGCCACCGGAGCATGGTCATTCGCCTGAGCGCTAGCCGGTCCTCAGGTCTGAGCAGATCGGCGGTCGGCAGTGACGACAGGATACCCGCCACCACTCCGAACACCTTTCGAGTAATAGGAACACGGCTTAAGGTATAAACGGCGGCAGCGGCGGTAGGAATATATAAATATACATACGTAAGGCGCATTACATGGTATTGGTCAGTCAAAATAAAAATTTTGTTTATATATATAAAATTAATGTCACGCATGCGTGTACGGGTACGAAAACCAAAAATATAAAATTATACAGAGTTAGTGTTGTTACGTGTGGTGAGCAGGGTGGGGTAAATGCGTTACGACGTCTAGTCTCAAGGTCATAGGTACGCGAGAATAATAACACGTGCCGCGTGGAAAGTTACAAACACACAACTCACATACATTTGAAACTAATATAAGCGTGTTAAAAATGGTAGTATAATAGTGCTAAGGCACAGGGTAGACGTGCCATATATGGAAAGGTATAAATGATATCTGACAGTGATTAAAATGACAATCATAAGAAACGCTTCGATACAAATCTGTAAATAATGTTTAATTCTAAGAAATTTGTGGATTATTCCAAAAGCAAAATGAATTGCTATTTTCTATATTATTCCTGATATGTGTTTTTTTCATTTAGATGTATAATATATGAATAAATATTTATTATTGCAATTAAATATAGTATGAGATTGATATTTAATAACTTAGTATTGTAATTTTTTCGGATAATTTATTAAAAATTACAAAGTAGGTACAATTTTTATGGCAAATGTGTAAAAATTTCCTAATAAGTGATTGCTTGATTTTAAAATATAATATAAGAATAAATACTAATTATGGTAATTAAATTCAGTATGAAATTGATCTTAAATAATATAATATTGTAATTTATACAGAGAAATTATAAATAAAATAAAGCAATTGTATATTTATTTACTTTTAACGTGTATAAAAATTTAAAGGGCTTGATGCAATACTTTACCAAAAAAAAACTGTTTGTTACTTATGAATAAATACACTTGACTACAAGAAACTTTCATCAGATGAAAATATATACTTTTCTTTTTCAACTTTTCGTGCTATTTTCAAATCTGCAATTAGACTTTTCTATAATTTTTAATTTTTTATATTATTATTAACTAGTAAAAAATGAGTATTAACATATTTATTATTTTTTTTTTTTACAACCGTTAGATTGGTTAATACCAACTGATTGGTATATCCTGGGTAAATTTAAGTGCATTGGTTTCCCGTTCCCTTCTGCACTCTGAATATGGTGCTTTTTCACCATCGTAGAAGCGCGAGCATGGTCACCCATCCGTTCATCTACAGCGGTAGGTGCGACTTAATACTACAGTTTTATCAACAACTAGTATGACCACCGCACCACACTTCTCCATTAACATAAAAAAAAAAATAATTAAAACAAAAAAAAATGTTTTTTTTTTAAATTATTAGTGATTTTAAATTTTAATATGTTAAAAATAATCAGTGAAAAATGACATTTTAACCATTTTTGGTCCCTTAAAATTTTTTTCGTGAAAGTTTATAATAAAAAAAGTTGAATTTGATACTATAACTTTTAGCTTAATGTAAACATCGTATTGTAAAATAACACACTTATGCAGTATTTAATTGACGGTAATTTACTCCCAGTTAATGATTATTTATAGAATCGATTAAATAACACATTTCTTTGTGACATATTCTAATAAGATAAAAATTAAATAAAAAATAAAAATTTGTACAAGTATATACAAGCTTTCCGTTCAATGACAAAAATAACGCAAATATATAGTCTGATAATTCATATATAGATATGACCCATAATCAGTACTTAATAATAATAATTGTCTTTTATAATTCAATAAAAACAGTACTTCAAATTGTGAGTCCCATAGCGTATTGTTTAACGCACTTCACTTGAAATCTACTGATCAGGGCTCAATTCTATTTAACTATACAAAAAATTAAAACTTTTTATTTTTATTGTTGAAATATATATACAGAGTGTTCAGTAAGTCAGGAAACGGGTTTCTATTGTTCTCATTGTTACAAACAATGAGAACTATAGAAACCCGTTTCCTGTCTTACTGAACATTCTGTATATATATATTTTAAAAATTGAAGGCAATAGCGTCATAGCCCCAAAACAAAAAAATTGTTATATTTAATAAGGTTAAGCCCCTTCAATTTTTAGAGTCTCAAATTATAAATACTATTTATCTTACATAGCATTAAAGTATTTATTAATTTTTTATCAGGCGTGTTCATGGTAAATAGTCATAATATTATTAATTTCACAAAATTATAAAAATTAAAAGATATTTTTTAATTATCACAGTAATAATATATTTTAGAAAAAATATATTAGAACCTTTTTTGTTAGAAATTTTATACTAAATAGTTTTTATTCTATACATTTTTACGCTAACTATAATATTGACGTGATCAAATCTAAAATCTAAAAAAAATCTTCTGTGCGTTTGAAACACTTTATTAACACGCTTATATTAGTTTCACCTGTATGTATGTATGTTTGTAACTCTCCAAGTGCCACGCGATATCGCATATTCCGTCGTCTATGGCCTTGAGACTAGACTGTCGTAACGCATTCACCACTCCCCACGCCTCGCTCATCACACGACGGCAATACTATTCCTGTATAAATTTATTTTTGTTTATCGTACCCGTACACACGTGTGTGTCATCAATATTATATATATATATAAACAAATTTTTATTTTGACTGACCATTATCATCCGCGTGCATACGGCTTACGTATACAGGGTGTTTAGTAAGTCAGGAAACGAATTTCTATTGTACTCATTGTTTGTAACAATTTAACTGTTTCCTAACTTACTGAACACCCTGTATATATATATATATATTCTAATTACTATTAAAAATACAGGGTGATTTTTTTATCATAACCCACTCAATTACTTGCAGAATAATAATAATTTAAACATTTTTTTTTTTATCATTATCTTTAGTTACACATTATTCTTGAATTTTTAACTATGTAATACTTTTTAAGTTCATCCCTTATGCCTTGGAGGGGGGTCAACTTTGTTTTTTTAAATGGTAACACATATTTTTAATTTAATAAAATGTTTGAGTTTTTAATTTAATAGTAAATGGCATTTGAATTTTTAATATAACTTNTAATTTAATAAAATGTTTGAGTTTTTAATTTAATAGTAAATGGCATTTGAATTTTTAATATAACTTAATTCGTTTATTAGATATAATCATTTAAAGTTTCAAATTTTTGAATTAATATACAGGTATAATACACAAGGGATTACAAATATAGGTAGCTAATTGGTTTTTTATAGCATTTAAAATGTTGTTTTATCAGTTGTGCAAAAGAGTAGTGGTATTTGACGAGGTTGTAAGACACAAAATTAAATGCGGGTGGTTGAAGTGGAGTGATGCTTCTGGCGTCTTATGCGATAAAAAAATTCCACTGAGGCTGAAAGGTAAATTCTACAAGACTGTAATAAGGCCAGCTATAATGTGTGGTTCAGAGTATTGGGCGGTTGATAAGAAAGTAGAGTAAAAAATGAATGTAGCAGAGATGAGAATGCTTAGATGGATGAATGAAGTGACTAGAAAAGATAGAATAAGGAATGAGCATATAAGAGGAAGTATAGCTGTAGCATTCATCGTGGATAAGATGAAAGAAAATAGACTTAGATGGTTTGGTCATATTATGAGGAGAGAAGAATCGGAAGCTGTGAGAACAATTATAGAAATTAATGTTGAAGGAAGAAGAGGTAGAGGAGAATCAAAAAAGAGATCGAGGGATGCTATTGAATGCGATTTGAGGACAGCTGATGTGAGCGTCGATGATGTGGAAGATCGTGTCAAGTGGAAGTTTAGGATAAGGGTGGCCGACCCAAGTAGCTATGATTAAGGCGAGGAAGAAGAAGAAGAAGAAGACCAGTTTCAGTGTGAGACACTATATTTTTTTAAGTATGTGGAATTTTATGTATATTAAAAAGTAAACTTTTTTTATAAATGAGCGCCTAAAGAATCTACTTTTTTATTAACAACATTAGAACGTCGAGATTTTGCTACATTCTTCAATGAAACTGGTTCTATCCCCAAAGTACTACAGGGTGTATTCACAATATTAAGATCATTTTCTAAACTACTATAAAATCAATTACTGCAACTACTCATATTTAAATTAACAGTACTTTATGTAATATTTTAAAACAGGCCTTGCTTTGGAATCATTATAAAATTTAGTCATTGTAAAATATGACACGGCCACGGCGTTGTCACACGTTGACACCCCGCGGTCGTATCAGCACCTTCTCAGCCACCACTTCACTGTAAACCGGACCGTTACACACACGCGTTATCGTCGTGGTGTAAAGTCCAACAAATGCCTAGCGTCGAATACCCCGCCGCAATAATACGTGCAGACAGTCATCTTCGTGACACCGATACCGTCGATTGTTTTCTGTTTTGACCGTCCGTGAACGCCACCGGATCACCACTGCAGTTCTTTCGAGAAGTTTTATCATTCACCGACGAGAACCATTTTTAAACTCTATCACCCAACAATTAGTGATATTCAGTGTTATAACCTTTCGTTGGCTATTCTTGTTCTTTTTAAATAAAACGTGCATAATAGAATCGTGCTTTCTTCTTTTTCTTTTTCTTTTTCTATTGTGTGTGTTTACGACGGCAGTCGCAACAAATAATATTTTAAAATATTATTGTAAAATATTAATATTCAAAAACCATAATAATTTTTAATTATTCTAATAGAACACTCAATATTTTATTATTAAATAAATGATTTTGGGAAAATAAAAAAATAATTGAATTACACAATGTTTTATGTATACAAGGATAATTTTTTTCAAATATTTTATCAATAAAAAATATATTACTTAAATAACTAAAAAAAAGAAAAATTTACAAAATTTAAATATAATTTTTTTTTATTGGTTATTAATAAAAAAAAAGTTTTATTTGGAATAAATACTCTTAAAATCCTACTAACTTATGATTCTATTCAATGGCAAGGAATTACCTCATAGTATTGTAATTATCTAAAAGTGATTATACTTATTGTAAAATGTTAGCCCAAATTTTTGTATGGGGTATCTAATTNATTATACCTATTGTAAAATATTAGCCCAAATTTTTGTATGGGGTATCTAATTAAAGAGCTCCACCGTCATTTTCTCGGTAACTCACCTAGCCTATCTGGGCTTGATACTTAGTATCATTGCTCATAACTTAGGGTGGTTACTTTATTTGTTTAAGTGGCAATATACATACATAATTAGCTAATAAAATAGATAATGATCTAATTAAGAAAATTACGGGTCGATAATAATCATTGAACCAGTGTTATGGAAGTTATGAACATGTTATAGTGTGGACTAGAAGTGAGACGCAGGTGTTATTATTTTTATCACTAATCAGTAATCAGCCGTACTCTTTCTCTCACCATAATAAAAATTGTTCATAACTTATAAAATACTAGTTCAAAATTTGTTATTGTTTGATATTTATAAAATTTTATGATTAATATATTGAAAAACCTGTACCTAAAAGAAAAAAAAATATGATNGATATATTGAAAAACTTGTACCTAAAAGAAAAAAAAATATGATTTTTTATATTTCATTTAATTAAATGTTTTATAATAAATTTATCACTTTTTATCAATGAAAAAAATAACAAAATTTTCTATTAAACTATTTTAACAAAATTTTGGAACAAATTACTATTACAGTGGTAACATTGTTGTTTTTATATTGTTCTAGGATTTGTGTTGTATTTTATTTTTGTTATTATTAATGTAAAAGTATAAGTAACGCACATTTTTTGAATACTAATAATAATATTGTTAATAATTATGAATTCTGTTTTTTTATTAAATATTTAAAACATGCATTTAAATTAAATTAACACAATTATTGTATGTGTTAATGGAACTATGAGAAAAATTTAGCACAAGAAAATTAATTTAAAGATACTTATTAAATGGTTCCATACCCTTAGGATATTCAATTAGTTCGACTGAATCATCTTTCAATTCACAATTGACATCTAATTTTAAAATAAAAATTAATTATTAAAAAAAGAGTTGTGATATCATGTTCTATATTGAATGAATAAAACAATAGCACATTATTTTATAACCGTAGTGACATAGTTCAAAAAAAAAAAATGTCGATTTTTTACGGATAATGCGAAATTTAAACTTTTAAACATTTTGATTTCGCGAGGGGGGTAAACAATAACTTTATTTATAACTAATAAAAAAAATTATCTACAGAACTAATTATTTTTCTATATAACATGTTCATAACTTCCATAACACTGGTTCAATGATTATTATCGACCCGTAATTTTCTTAATTAGATCATTATCTATTTTATTAGCTAATTATGTATGTATATTGCCACTTAAACAAATAAAGTAGCCACCCTAAGTTATGAGCAATGATACTAAGTATCAAGCCCAGATAGGCTAGGTGAGTTACCGAGAAAATGACGGTGGAGCTCTTTAATTAGATACCCCATACAAAAATTTGGGCTAATATTTTACAATAGGTATAATAATTATCAATTATAGACATATTATAAAATATCATTGTAATTATTCTTTATTTTATGTTTTGTGTACTGCCTAGCTAATAAACTACAATAAAAAATAAAACAAAACATTTAACCGTGCTATTTTGTATTTTATAAGAGTAAAGAATATAATATGTTATATATTATATAATGATTAAAAAGTAAGGAAAATTGTATTTATTCTATTTTTTTATAACAAATCTCCTACCTTCTTAAATATTATAGATTTTCTTTATACTTATTTTATTTTCTACAACCAGTTCATATAATTAAAGCGTTTTATAACTATAATGTATTCAATATAAATTTTAATTATTTTGAACTTCGTATATATCGCTAAAAAAATATTGTAGTTTTCCATACATTATGAACAAAGTATTATGGATGATTATATTGTTTCCTAATTCTAATAACATATTATAAAAGAATAAAAGTATTTTAATAGATCATAAAATCATTACTTTTTTGTCTAATGTCTTCCTGTTTCTCTACATTATTGGTATGTAGAATCGAAGGATATTTTGTAATATCTAAACATATTAAAATGGTTTTTAGGTCAATTTAAAACTTATTTAGATTAAAATATAATGGTACTGTAAAGTTTTGGAAACTTTAAAATTTTGCTGAGTTGCGGGGTCACAGAACAGTATGAACTTGGGATAGTTAAGTCAAGTGTAGATGATATCTAGCAGTAACGCTCATTTTTTGAATATACTAATAATAATTAATTGTGTTTTTTTATTAAATATTGAAAACTTGCATTTAAATTAAATTTACACAATTATTGTATATGGTAATGGTAATAAGAAAATTAATTTAAATGTATTTATTAAATGGTTCCATACCCTCAGGATATTCAATTAGTAAGACTGAATCATCTCTAAAGTCACAATTGACATCTAATTTTAAACAAAAATAAATTATTAAAAAAAAGAGTGGTGATATCATGTTTCGTATTCATTGAATAAAACAATAGTACATAATTTTATAACCTTAGTGACAATGTTAAAAAAAAATTTCTATTTTGTACGGATAATGCGAAGTTTTCGCGAGGGTGGTAAACGATAACAATAACTATGAGAAAAAAATGAATAAAAAAACCTTTTTCCTTATTATAGTTCTAATTTATACTTATTTTATTGTCTACAACCAGTTCATAGAATTAAAGAATTTATAATTATGTATAGAATAATAATTATTCTATTATTTTAAAACTATTTTAACTTTCGTTCAAATCGCTGAGTACATTTTGTGGTTTTCCATAAAATATGAACAACGTATTATGAATGAGTATATTGATTCTTAATTCTAATAGCTCAAAAAAATAAAAGTATTATAGTGTATTGCAAAATTATTACTTTCTTGTTGAATGCCTTCTTTTTTCTCTACAACATTCGTATGTAGTAAAGAAGGATATTTTGTAAGATCTAGACATATTAAAATGGTTGTTAGATCAATTTAAATTTATTTAGATTAAAAAATAGTGTAGTATCAAGTATTAGGGGAACTTTACCATGTTGCTGAATTTCTTCTTGCGCATTTACTTCATTGATGTTTTGTATAAAATTTATTGTACAATTTTGTGCGATACCTAAATATGTTAAAAACAAAATAATTTCTAATAAATGTAATATTGCATAAATATTTGTACTTTGCTTGAAATCGGTAAGACGTAGACTAGGTAAAATAGTCTGACTTGTGTAATAATGTTGTTGATTCTCTTCTTGCGCATTTACTTCATTGGTATTTCGTATCAAATTTATATCAGAATTTTGTGCGATATCTAAATATATTAACAACAAATTATTTCAAATAAATGTAACATTGCATAAATAGTTATACCTTGCTTGACATTGGTAGGTGGTAGAGCAGGTAAAAAAGTCTGATTTGTGTTCCAGTCATATTTAAATCCAAGTTCAATATACTTTTTCATGATTGTCGTTAGGATTAAATTTCTAATTTTATCACTAAGAAAAATGAAAAATTCATGGTATTTTCCTTGATATTTTAAGTTATTAAATTCCATATTCCATGTATTGCATAATGAATTAAAATCTAAATATTTTAGTTGACAATATAACTTATCTTCATCAAGTTTAAGAAGCCATGCGTATGATATTTTCGCAATAGTATCTAATACATCTCTAATTGAATTCGAACTGATTCTTAACGTAGTCAATAAAGTTTCATTTTGCTGTATATTTGTTAGTATACCACTTAAAATAAAACGGGTTCTTTTGAGGGTGTTCAAGGGATTATTATGATATTTATCTATTGCATATAACGCTCCTTTCATATATTTTGCCATGGGAACCATTTTAATCATTTTTGTTAAAAGTATTACTATACAATTGTGCACACTATCGTCGCCAGAAATTAATAGACCAGAACATTGTTCTTGTAATTTAATTAATGATAAAAATATTAATCTTAAATCATGATAGTAAGAACATCCAAGGAATATCGTTGCTTTCCGTATGCAATTATCGCAATTATACATTTTTACAGGTTCAATAAATAAATCTTTCAGTTCATATTGTTTGCCACAATACTTAATTAATTTGACATCATTTATATTACTCCATCCTGGTTGACGTAGAAAATTATTAATGATGATTGCATTTTCTTTTTTACTATGATTTCCTTCAGTATGTAAAAAAGCGAAAAAAATACATAAATACACTTGAATATTAAGTATTATTACCATTTTGTTTTATGAAAAGTTTCTAATCTATTTTAGCTTCGATGCGAATCTGAGAAGTTAATTTTACCATAATATGTTGTAATATTATATTATTACTTATAATATTAAATTATTATATTATCTTATCTTTTGTACATGTATGTCATATATTGTGAATTCACAAGATCACCAAAACAGAATTCCCTCATTTAAAACTTAAAATATCAATAAATCAGGCAATTAAATTTGATTATCATACAGATTCAAATTAACGCCTATGTGCGGGTTTTTAATTAACTCCAGCCAATCACATTTAACTATTAATTAAGATCTACAGTTTCTAAGATCACACTAGGGATCGCTACAGGACCCTCGTCTACTATAAAAACCCATTTTTTCCTATTAAAATCAGTTCTTTCGGCGATTTTAAAATACACAAAATCTGCGACACTCTATTCAAGATTCTTACTCTCTGGGACTTAGTCTATTTTTTAATTTATTTGGACTTAGAATATTTTTCTTTAAAACTAAATGACACTTAGAGATTTTAAAGTGAATTTTGTTTTGGTGANGGACTAAATGACACTTGGAGATTTTAAAGTGAATTTTGTTTTGGTGAATCTTTTGGTTTGATTTAATTTGTTCATTAAATAATAATATTTTATTTTTATTTTACCATGGAAATAAATGTCAATTAATATTTTAAAATAAAACATTTTTTTTTATATATATAATAAAACCGAATCAACTCTAATTTTCTCAGTTAATGATAAATATTTATTATATGACTAAGTGTATTGCAACTCTATACTTATTGGGTAGCTAATCTTTTGTGGTTTAATGTCTTTGTTCTAACGAACATCGCGCCGGCAGACAGAGTAAAGGTTGCAATTAAAGATTTTTAAAGTTAGGTGTGTTAGGTTAGAATATATTTGTAAGCCTATGTGTATTGGGTAGCTAATCTTCTGTGGTTTAATGTCTTTGTTTTAACGAACATCGCGCCGGCAGACAGCACAGAGAAACTTACAAATATATGTTTTTAGTGTTTAATTTTTGTCTTGGTGATTATTGTGCCGCATCCTTTCAAGGTGCTTTATTTTAGCACCGGGACACATTGGGCCACCACAATTCCGCCTTGACAAATCTTTTACATAGATATAAATATTTCTGAATCTTGTTTTGGCCAGGCCAGAGGAAAATTTAAGAAATATTGGTGTCGATCTCTCAATAAAATATAATCTCTCAAACAACATACTCATTCTACAAAGTTAACTAAAGATACATTATTTGATTATAATTATAAAAATATAGACTGTATAGAATCTCTTGCATATAATAATACAGTCATAGATTTTGTGTAACGGTTTCGTATTATTTATAATTAAACGCTTTATTCTCAAACGGTCATATTTACTGTCGAACTCAAAGTGTACAACGTGTGAAATACAGTGTAAACTCATAATCAACATTGGATTGTCTAAAATAAGCATTACACTACGTGGGATACAAGGTAAGTACAAATTTAAATTCCCGCTTTCAAATTATAAATACTCTATTGCGTAATAAACCATTAAGATAGGTAATAAAGTTTGGTAGGATAATTGACTTCATTTATTCAATATTTTCAACCCCGAGATCAGTTTATTATTTTTGTCACAACGTTTGTGTACATTTTTATTTATTTGATCATTATCCTCATGTATTTAAACTCCGTTTATTCACCCCTCTGAATTCTTCTTTATTCATATTATTATATTCTTTGCACCCTTACATATCTTGCCACATTTAAACATGTGTTATTCCGCTATCTACCATCTTATCTCATAAACCTACCTACCATCTTATAATATTTTATTATAGCTACTTTTCGTAATTTTCTTTTTCTATTTATTTCTTTTTGGTTTATTACAATGTTTATTTATTATTTTTTATATTTTTGTGTGCCTCACTGGACCGATTATTTTAATTGATACGTCAAAAGATCACAAATCATATATAGTTGAAGACATTACCCTTAATAATTAAAAATTCTTTTTCGTTCTTCGTAAATGATGAAAATCCCCCAAAAATTACGATTTTTAAAATCATTGAAATTCAACATTTTTTTTCTCTAAAAATTACCTTAACTTATTGAAAAATTAATGAATCTTAAGAATTCTTTTTTATAATGACACCTTAAATATTTCCTTTTCATTTGATATAAATTTTTTGAAAATATGACCCTTTGATTGGCACAGGAGGAATTCAAATTAGTAACATTTGCACATTAAACTTTTTTAACTTATGTTTTGAAAATGTTCGGAAAATACTCCGAGCTTCAGGCATATGTTTAAATATAACTTATGATATGCACTATAAGAAAAAAAAAATTCCCGTCCACTTATCTTTTATGTGCAAATGGTTGCAGTAATAAAAAAATATGCAATTTTGGTGTTAACATTTTTAACTTTAAATAACTTTAACTTTTCGAAAAATGTATGGATTAATACAAATAGTTGTTTCTAAATAAATTGTATATAAACCTTTCATCTGACATACTTTTTTTTTTAATCGAACCATTTTCCTTTATACAGGGGAGGTTTTAATTTTTAAAAATACGAGTAAAGTGTAGAAATTTTTCAACTTAACTTTTGTAAATGTTCTGGAAATACTCCAAGTTTTAAATAATATGTCAAGTTTATAATAAATTCTAAAATTAAAAAAAAAAAAAATTTCTCTACACCTTTTTCTCAAAAGGGAAATGACCGTCGAATTGAACGAAAAATGTTATTTTTATGTAAAAATCACTGTTAATGTGTTAATATTTTCATACTTAACCGTGCTATAACAAAATTAAAAATTAATAAAGCAAAATA